TTCACCAAACTGATATGAACAAAACATGCCCCATCATGAGGGATGATAAACGCTATGCTCTTGACACTAAAACACAAAACAAAAAGTACTAATGGTTTTCAGCAAACGTATAGTGGACCCTCAGACCTTCAAGACTTCTCCGTATGGGTACGTTCATGAACTGCTAATTGACTTGAAAATACTTCCATTTTGTGGCACATGACTACCTTGGTCTGCTCATGTCCTGCCCTGTAAAATAAGTTGGTGCTGTCCCCTGGTTGGCTGGGGAACATTAAACATAGTTTTGCCTGACTTTTCTTGCATGATTCCATTTACTTGACTTTCTGGCATGACACCCTTGTTGCTATGACGACTATAATCATCTTTAAATCAATCATGTGACATGACGAGGACAGTTGATGACAACTTAAAGTGCAACTGAAATGAATTTTCGTATCTGAGATTTTTGCTTAATAATGAAGTTTGAACCTTACTTGAAAACACAGACAACTATGTTTTTGCGCATGGTGAACGAAAACTGCTTTTTCAGCCATCAGAAGTTGGCTGGTTGAGCCCATAATTGGCATAATCTTGGCATGGCCAAAACAGCCTTGTGATGTCACTGGTTGCATTACTCTCAAACCCAACTCAAAATTTAGAGTGATTATGGGAGAAGAGACTAGTGTTCTAAGCCCCCCACCTCCCCCACAAAAAAACAGCCATCTTTAGAACATTTCAGAGCTGTAAAGCAATTAATATTAGCTTTTACACCTGAGGTGGAGGAGAATCGATCCTGTGGCCTTTTTCTATTTAATTAGATATTTCCAGGATATTTTATGTAAGCAACCAAACAAGTGCGATGTGTTTATAAAAACAGTTCATTTTGACCATTCAACAGTCACTTCAAGATGTGGCTAAATATCATTTAGGCAAGGTTAAACTCAAGCTAACGCAGCCAGCTAGGGTGCCCATCCAGCTAATATCATTTAGGCAAGTTAAATATGAGCTTATGCAGCCAGAGGTTTCCCCGTTTGGGAGTACATGACCTGTGGGGCAGCCTTCAGGGGGTTTGCAGGGGTTTATGGGTCATTGCATAATTGTTGTAGTGTATTCAGCTGATTGTTGCGGATCAGTTGCACTGCTTTGCTCGCGAATCATTGCGGATTCTTGCCTCTTCGTTGCCTTTTGTTTTCTTTCGAGAGCTATTGTTTATCCTTGTTAATACGATAATGATGGCCAGGTCAACCCGTAATAGCCAAGCAGTGGCCTTCGATGCCATTGTTTCTGTTGCTGAGACGACTTGACCACGTTCAAATGATGCAAATGTCCCTCGATCAACTACACAGACACCGGTCGTTCCTTCAACGTCTCAAGCTCAATCTACTGATCAGCCTTCTCCCGCTTTCTTGGCATCGGTTGTCAATGCGGTCAAGCAAGCCCTCGTGGCTGAGCAAGCATCAAATCTACCATTGACGCCCCCGTTTCTTCATCCACGAGTGTGCCGGAGGCTGCCATGCCTGGTGGCGTTCATCCATCGTTTCTATCTTCTAGCCAGCTAGATGCTCAAGTCTCAGCCCTGGCAGCCTCTGGCATTGGTTTTCCTCCTGTTTCGGCGGTTGCTGCGAGTGCTACGGTGCAAGGTAGGCCCAATTTTGTTGTGCCTTCGTTTGTTTCTATGTTTGCCTCACCAATACCCGCACTCGCAACATCTTTGTCCAACACTGGCCCGGAAACTCTGTCCATATACTGGCCCGGAAAGATGGAAATGAGATATTTCAATAGACACAGAGAATTGGACAGATGTCTTTAAAATGGCTTCAAAAACATGCAAAGAAAANTCTGTGATATTCAATTTTGTGTGAAGAGGCAAAGACAAAATCAAGAGATTGGCCTTAACTAGTGAATATGAAGATGGTGGCCTCAAAATGCCTCACCCTGAATCTTTAATTAAAACTCAAAGAATCACGAGTCTTAAAAGGTATTTAGATGATAATGTTAGCCCTTGTAAAGTTTTCTTGTCTCACTATCTTAAGAATACAGGAACTAGTTTTCTGCTTCAGTGCAATTTCAATCCATGGCACCTACCCTGCAAATTACCAATTTTTTTATAAAGAATGTCTTGAAGATCAGTCTGACTTCAATGGCCACCATGATATAATAGCTACAAAACAGGACATTTTAAATGAGATCATCTGGAACAACCAGAACCTCTTGATTAACAAGCAATCAATATATAGTAAGAGAATAAAAGAAGCAGGTTTTGTGAAACTTGGACATATCCTCCCAAACGACTCTAAGTTAAAAAGTCATAATTAAGGTTATAACATAGTCCCAAAGCAGGGCAATTAAACAATACTGTAATAAATTCCCTGCTGAGGGACCATGAACAGCCCACCAAAAACAAAAATAACAGAATCCTCCAACGGGGCCCATGAACGCAAAAGGCAGTCACATAACAATTGAAACTATTTACAAAGGACTAATGAATAGAATAGGAGCTGGACAAGTCACGATCATTCTCAAAGCAAGAACAAGTGAAAAGGTCTAATTAGTTGCTATTATTAATACAACTTTTGGAGCGAAATTCCCGCCTTTGTTAAGGCCATGTGGATTAAGTGTGAATAATTGTGTTAACAGGCTTCTCTGGTAAGCAGTAACTGGTCTAAGTGTAATGGATTTTGGAAGGATACAATTTGCTCAATGACGATGAACCTCATTTGAGAAATGTCATGTTGGTAACTATCAAAATTTACCACCAATTCATATGTTTTTCTATTGCTGAGCATATTCGATTTATGATTGCGGAATCCAATTTTAAACTCAGTTGATGTGGAACCCACATATTGTAAGTTACATTTACAGCACATTGCGAGATAAATTACATTTTTGGATGAGCAGGACAATTTTTGTCAGATAGGATAATGCCTACCCGTGGCCGAGCTTTGGAATTTAGAAGATTGAAGTAGAAAATTCTTGCACAAGTCACACCTATTTTTATCACATTTAAAACAACTGCCCTCATTGACCGTCTGATTAGCAGCAGAGCTCGGTCAAAATTTAGATGGTGCTAGAACTTCTTTGAGATTTTTGGTTTGGCAGTAAGCAGGGAAAACAGAGTTAGCTGGAAAAAATTTCTGTGATTTGAGGTGAAGATCTTAATAAGTGAAAGTGCTTCCTCATGATGTTTTGAATGTCTGGCAAAATGGGATTATAATCGAGTACCAGAGGAAAAACTTTTTTGTTATTTTTCACCTTTTTTGCTTAAAAGTTTGGATCTCGGAATCTTAAGAGCCTTATCAAACTGATTGTCAACTAAATCTGCTGGGTAATTTTGCGACTTAAGATACCCTTTGTATTCTTCACATCTAGTTTGCAAAAAATCATCAGTGGAACAATTGCACTTTTTTATGATGCTGGTAATGAGCCACTTTATTCCAGGAGTTGTACAAAGAAGTACGAATGTCAGACAACAGAGCCATGGATCGATTTAACGATGCATGGTAAACCACATACAAAATATTTAGGCAGAATATGAAGGTTTACATAAACAATGAACTCCCAGCAGAAGAATATATATACAGTTGTATATAGAGATATATAAGTATCTGTACAAATTATTGCATGGGTTTATATTATTAACCACATCCTTAATTAGATCTAGCTGACTGTGAATGTAATGTAATGTAAATTTGTAATTAGTGTTAGTGTAATAGTTTGTATCGCTCTTGTAATTGAGCTTTAAATAACAATAAAATATTTTAAACAAATATGTTATTTCTCAAAAACAAAGCGCAATTCAACAAAAACAATTATGCAACAATACTTTTCATGTCAAAACAAGTCAGTCTGCCAAAAATTAGCTCGATCTTGCAAAAAATAAAAATCGGCCCAAAATGTCACATACGCCCGTTTTGCACGAAAGCCTTCCATTGAAATACTAAGTTTCTGGTAGTTTCTAGAATTTTTAGTCACGCAATGTTTGTCGCTCCTTTGTAACTAGGATTTCACTACTTAATTGCTAAAATAAATAAGTTGGGTTTGTAGTGTATCTTTTTTGTCGGCTGAATGATACTGTAACAACTGGTATCATAAAATGATGTCTTCTGTATGCAATCAAGGACTCAACTCAAAGTTGTTGATCATAAACAACTTCATGATTGTGCGGGTTACCACTTGTAATCAAAATTTCGTTTCAGTGGCACTTTAACAAATCAGCCCTAAATGAGGCTATACAACTACTTTTAACCTGGTAAATATTAATAAGCTTAAATGCAAGATTTTTCTGTCAGTGATGTAGGTGTACTCAGAAAAAAATCAAAGCACTCTTATCATACATGTTATTTATCATTGGTGACTGCAAAAAACCCAATCATCAGTCACTACTGAACTTGACAGTTGCAAGTTATAAAAAGGTGCAGTAAATAGGCTATCATGGTCAGGACTCAAGTATCTCCCTCATTGAGGGCTTCAGTTACGGAATGATGATATGATACACACTATATGCTATCTGTTAGATTATTATATGGTTAGCTCCATGAGCGGGCATGATTGACTGAATGCCCACTCAGGATTACCTGCTGTTTTCCACAAGTAAATAGTGTCATTTTTCATATAATAAATCCTTTGTTGATCAAGCTTGCTCAGTCAAGATGGCTGGATATTGGCTGCATTCCTTTTTTGTGTGTTTATCCATGGACCTTGACTCTGTCTTGGTCCATAAACACACAAAAAACAACTTGGCCAATATCCAACCATCTTGACTTTACAGTTAGTCCATAAACCATATCTTTTCCCTTGAAAGATTGAAACACGTAACACTGCTTCAAATACAGCAGACAGCAAATAATTGCATCTTTTTTCTACCTTTTGTTTTTCATTATTTAAGCACTAACTAGTTTACAGTGATTTTAAGTTACCCAGGAACAAAGATCAGATAGGAATCACAAGCAAGAACTTAGTTTGAGTTTAACTTTAGAACTACAGTACGTGTATGGGGAAGTTTTGATAGATGCAATACTTACTATTAACAACAATCTCTGCACCAGTACTGTTTCGCCTGGAAATTTCACCTTCCAGCTCTTTTTTTCTGGCCAGTTTAAGACTCCTCTCAACACGTCCAGCACTCCTACTTCTGACAACACTCGTGTAATCAATACCAGAACAGGACCTTGAACTGCTTGCACTCTCAAATGTAACAAGCCCTGGCTCTAAAAAACAAATTATCAGTGAACAAAACAATTTTGAATTTTATGACAAACAAGTCAATATGGGAAGGGAATTCATATAGCTGGTCAGATTGCCAATTAAATAAATATTTTTTCTCCTCAGTGCACAGTGCACTTAAACTAAATTACAATTTCAATTGTAAAATGAGCAGTCCAGATTATTCTTCATCTAGAGATCTCATATTTTCAGACAGATGACACATGCACACTTTCTACTTTAAGTATCCTATTTTACATAACAAGAAAAGACAAAAATCTTCACCCAGCTTTTTCTTTCTAGATGTAAAAATATTATGCTCACTCAGTTTTAACCTAGAAATTGCATAAGCAATCTATAGGGTTTTAGTGGTGGTGCAGATTATGCAAATGATATACAAATGATGTCCTCCCATCATCTGTAAACTTTTTGTAGTAATTCCACTGACCAGTAGGTAAAGCTCCTGAAATCACTGTATTAGTCAATATTGCAAGCATACATGTATGTATCAGTTTACATTTCTAGGTCAAGGTCTATGTGACTACGATTGTTGCACTAAAAATGGAAACTTGTTTTGTTTGCTTTCTGGGTATAGTTCATTTAACATTTCTATTACAATTCTAATCTTGAATTAACAGTCAACTGTAAATAAACCAACTGCTGGCTTCTGTAATATGCATTGGGAATGTTTTTGATGACCGAGGTGAAGTTGCTGGAAGCTGCTATTGTGAATTTCTGCTCCAAAGTTTAGTAAAGATTAACAAGAGGCAATCCACTCTACATATCGATGGTACTACTAATGGAGGGTTGAGCTCCTAAAATTACATTTCGGAAATCAAAGCAAACAGTTTCATTGAGGCCACCGTAGCATTTGTCGAAAAAGTCTCTAAAACAGAAAGCCGCAGTCTTGCTAGCCTCTAAAAAGCTCATGATTCTGCCAGATTATAAGTTTGAACCGCAGGTGTGGAATCCACCACAAGAAAATCCTGCTCTTGAGGACAAATTCTCCATGTTACACAAATAACAGTGAAGAAACATAAGTCACATTGGAAGACAAATCCCACATAGTGGGAGCGAGGAGAACTAGCTAGAACTTCACGAACTGAAATCCAATCTGAGCATTAAAAATTAACTTTGCCCACAGAAATACATTTTTGGGCTTGGTCAAGCTGATACACTTTGACACTTGAATAGGCTGATGAGCTATCACATAGCAAAGTCACACAAAATTATGTCTATCTATAGTAGATTTAATCATCAACACGATCGCATGTGTAGTTTGATTCTGAAGTCATTTGATTCAACAAAAAATCGATTTGCGCTACAATTATATGGCAAATTTAACCGGAAAAAAGGTCAAATAGGACTCCTCTGTTCCCTGTGTGCTAGCCACACTAAATGTCAGAATCCGAGAAGTTAGCAGGTTAAGAGACTATGTGTCACTTATTTGTTATCTAATTCACATATTTGCTAGCCAATTTGAGAAAAGGCTGAAGTACTTTCAATTGTATCTTCCCCCTTGAAGTAAGGTTTCAATACTATTATTATACATTGAACTCTCCGTCTCTTTTCTGATTGGCCAAAAGCGTACAGTGAATTTTTGAAATCAGCACCTGTGACGTCATGTAGCTACAAACTATACAATAATCATGTCAAGGACACCTATGGCCATGGGTAATCATGTCATGTATGACCGCACTGCATGATTTCTAAGGGTAGTCATGTAAAGTTTGCATACTTTGCGTTGCTAATGTCATCAGTGAAGAAGCAAAAACATGACTTCCATTTTTTTTCATTCAATGTATAATAAAACAATCATCAGATTCGTTTTTGGTGATATCCAGAATAATCAAGGTCTTGGTAATTAAGGGTTATCAGCCAAAGACGATAACCCCTACCTCGACCTTGATTATTCTGGATATCACAAAAACCAAATCTAACAATTGTTTATGGTTAGAACCCGTGTTCCTTTCTAGTGTACCCTTGTTAGATTCCAGGATTCTTCAGCTTTTCTTTTCCATTTGTTTTTTAACCCACTAGTCTTTTTCTTTTCTTGTTTAACCTTTTTTTTGGTGAAGAACATCCACGAGTAGCTACATGAACTTATTTCAAGCTTGGAACCGACAAGAACACAGTTTTCGACATTTCGCATAATCTTCCAGAATTAGTTTACAAGTCAATGAATTCAGACAGAGATCTTAAAAACAGAATTTGCAAATGCAATAATTATTGTACATGGAGTACACCAAGCCTCAGTAACTAGTACAAATTTCACTTGCAATTTAAACCTCTTGCAGTGACGTCTTGCAATTAAGTGATCACAACCCATAAAACACTCTTTCAGGTGCTGTTATAGACTTTCAGAAAAGTCTTTCGTCTTGTTGATTCAGTACCTGCCAGACAAAGATTAATCAATAGAATCTTATGAAAATCATAGTGCCTTTGTTGTAGTTATCTTTGGGTTTAAGGTCTTTTAGTAAAATTTTTCATTGATTGAAAGAAAAAACATTGGTCTTCCACAAGCCCACAAGGATAAAACAATAAAATCAGTCTGCAATCCTAGGGAGGCGTCTCATAAACAGACCAGAACAAGAAAGTTCAACATGAAATGGAGCTGGGCTTCCATGATTACAAGATATTGAAAAAACATATGGTTTGTGAAACACTACATGGAAACTTTTTTGGGGGAGGGAAGGCATCTTTCTGAATGAGTGAAAATTACACCAGGCAAGTGCATTTTGAGAGTGACTTGCCTGAATGGTGAGTGCTGTCAAAATTTAGTTTCCAGCACAGTTGACACAAGTTGCAAGAAAATTGGTTAACAAGCTAAGTCTAGAGCACAATTTCCGTTGTAGCAACACTGTACAAAGTAAAATGTAGTGTTATTTTCCCAATGTTTGTGACAATGCTGCAAATAATTGTGTTGCCTAGGGGTGTTAAATGGGTGTCAGACTGCACAAAGTTTCTTATGTGCTGTGTTGCAACAACACAACAACACAACAAAATTGTGAGAAAACTAGCATAAAACATTACTTTGTTTAACAGATCCTTTAAGGTTTGATATTTTGGATGAGCATCATGAAAACTAACACTCTTAAAAATTCAGATCTAAGATCAAAGATCCCATTGTTAGTGCGAGTGCAATAACGGGATGGCAAGTATCAATTAATTAATTAGTAACGCTAGTGAGGAATGGTTGGGCTCAACAGGGAAAAGTACCTGTACGTGCTATGTAAAACATGTTTTACCTACATTACTTCTTTATTAACATCACAAAATGGTATATTTGTTTCAAAAACCCTGTGTTATCCTTGAGGTTCTATAATACTTTACAGAGATTAGTCTAAGTTAGCGTTGGCTATAAACTAGGTGAAAGATACATTACTTATGGGATCACACACAAACATTGTGTACTTTTCCTTATAGTAGAACACAGTTTGCAGGAAACATTCATTCAAACATCCTTAGTGTGAACCACTCAGTTCTCTCCTCACGAGCTGTGCATTTTTTGTGGGATTATCCCATCTAGGTGGCAAAATCTTGTGGGTTTGAGGATCTTTGGGAGCATGAATAGTCTGACAGGCAGATTGGGTACTAGTAATTTTGAGTGATTGTTTTCGAGAGAAGGTGGCCATTGCCATATATGGAACCGACACACTAGTTTGTGAGCTGCATATGCTCATGTTATGTAATCTAAAAACAGAAATAAAAGAGTAGGATAAAGTTGTCTGATTTCTACTTGTTAGTTTTCATTCTGTGCCATGATTGTGTGATGCAATGTGCTTTCCGTTGATCTCCATTTAGAATATGGATGTTGTGACATAATAATAACAAGAAGATCTGTTAGATTTCATAACCGTGCTTTTAAAATTTAACTGTTTTCTCAGTACTACTAGTCGCAACACAGTGCACATTCCAAAGCAGTCCTTGATGATTCATTGATTACTGTAGACACCACATCACTTGATCAACACAAACTGTGTTATTGCACCATCGCTCTTAGCCGTTGTGAAATCTATGATGACGTAATGGTCTTTATCTGGAAGTTCGCTTGGGACATGCCCATGAATGATACAAAAAGGAAACGAGTGTCACACTATTAATAACATTATTAATAAACAGTTTTCTTCCTTGAAAGTCAACATTTAATTTGTTTGTGCTATGTGTAAAGGACAAGCAAAGTAGTCACACAATTCAAGGTTTACGCTATCCACGGCTATTAAATTTTAGAACAGTTGTATTTTTTCTCCAAGCATTGACATAAATGCTGCAAGTTCTGGCAAGCTCCTGTTTACCTCAGCAACTATTTAATTTAATTTTCCTTCAGATCTCTTAACTCACTACAATGAAACAGCCAAAGCCACTTCATTTGCCTAAACCCACAAGAAATACTCGCAAAGTCGCAAATAAATTAATGACCGCCGCTTCTGGCAAAATAAGCTTGCAAAGTAAACAAAATCTTATTTGTCACATAGCGAAAATGAAAGCTGTAACATCAGCACATTCCATGGCTGACGTTATACCTTTTTTGGCATATTCATTATTCTCTTCGAATCCAACGCTTCGATAAAACCAAAAGAAAATAATTATATTTTACACCACAATAAAGAAAACAATATCAGTACCATTGTGCATGTATTAATGTTTCAACAGCTTTTGGCAAATAGACATCACAGGTTGCAAGATTCAAAATTTGGCTGAGAGGAAGTTTGGGTCTGGTCACCTACAAAACTAAAAAATAACCACCACGCAGAGCAAGAACAGTGCTCGGCCCATGGCTGTGCAGTCAAAAACAATAATAAACCCCGTGCAGAGTAAGAACCATGCTCGCCCATGGTCGCGCAGTTAATTATGCCTGCTTTTATGGCTATCGTGTTTCATCATTGTCTGGGTGTTGTCACGTGGTTCACGTCTCACATTTCACCGTTGGTTATTCATTTATTAACTGTTTGAATGTAACAGAACCACGTAACAGCACCCAGACAATGACGAAATGCAATAGCCA